AGAAATCACGTTTTTCAAATGCCTTTTTGTTTTAAATACACTTATGAACAGTAACACGCTAAATCATGCTCTGATACCAGCTGTAACAGAACCGACCAATTATACGAAATTAAGTAAGAAAATCATCCGCCAGAGCAGACGATTTAGCAAACTTAAGCCCGTATAACCCGGTAGTCCGTGAAATCACGAAGGATTTCAAATCAACTTACATCCCAGCCAAGATCGTAATAAGTTTAGCGGCCACCATCACATATTACATAAAAGTTTGCATCTCAGATACATCAGAGTTTAAAACATAGCTATTGCAAAACAAGTTCGAATAAAAGTAGCAGAAGCCATTTGTTTAAAACCACACACACTCACACGGAGTTCAAATACAGTGCCAGCTGACGATCATTTCCAACAAAAGCATTATACGAGACGTAAGGAATGACCATGCCCATGGTCCTAAGCATCACCCATCGCAGGATAAAGGCAGTTGATACAGTAGTCGTAATACATCTTCCCATCTGCAACAAGTGGGAATAAAACCCTGAGTACGAGAAGGTACTCAGCTATACTTACCCGACATAACCAAAAATAAAGTGACACCAAGGATTATGAAGGGCTTTATAGTTGGGTAGCTGACTCATTTGCAAAAAGAGGCATTTTTAGCATTTCAAGAACCTTTCAAAAGCATTATTGTCAAGTTAATTATTTATAACCTGTCGACTAGATTTGCACCTACACTAGAGCAAACATGATTAAGCAAATAATGATAACCAATGATCATTAACAACTTCCATAATGTCATATTCATTATAACTGTCCAAGTGTTCCATCAACATTACTACGATGAAGTCACTCAAGTCAAGTGCTCACTATCCAGGAGCGATGGCGATTGAATCGATTTCTAACCATTTGGTGATTTATTCTTACACAAACCTCACTCACCCGCTAAAGTGAGGTATTAATCACCGAAGTCAACTATCCAGAGTCTCGAGTTTGCCAGAACCACATGTACCGGGGCCGACCGACAAAGACTTTGGTCTTATCATCTCGCCCCGTGTCCTACCACACACACCGCTTCCCAACACAAGGCTGCATGGGCAATCTACTCGGCCGAATAATCTCCCAAACCAGCGGTCGGAAGGTACTTTATCCGCCAGCTAAATGTAAGGCATGCGTTCAACATGACTCGAGGCCCAACAACGGTCGGTCCTTAATCGACACGCACGGAAAGCACTACGAGTTCAAAACTCGTAAGTCTCCGTCCGGTCTCAACTTCATTTAACACTTAGTTATACCATGACTACATAGTTATCCAAGCAGATCCGTGTAACCACCTATAGCTCGCAGTGATGTGAAATCACCCGACTTCTACCGGTCTAAGCCACTAAGCATTGACTCGATCATTGCGGATACCGTGGTAACAAGGATATGGTATAACAAAGGTAGACAAGGTATAATGCAGCAACGGTTGCAAACAACTCCTGAACGTAATGCATCAATTAAAGTAAAGCAATTAATTAATAATTACAAACCGAGGACAAAATGCTCCGGGGCTTGCCTCTCTCGAAGGAGCTCGGGCGGTGATCGGGGCACTCCGGAAGTTCCTCAACGTCCTCCTCGTCGGCTTCGGGCACCTCCTGCGGCTGCACCTCGAGCTGCTCCTCGGGCTCCTCAGGTATGACGACTGGGTTCTCGGTTTGCGATCCTGTATGATGCAATGTGCGTAAGTGCTTATGCAATCAGTGCATCGGATGAGATGAATACAATGGATATGCTTGAATGCAAGGTAGTCAACATCATCCAAAAACATATACTACAAGCACATGTCATCTACTGCCTTCTCTTCTACTACTAATATGCTAAGTCAACACATCTTATTAAATGCTTCAAAGATACACCAAAGCTTCACTAATTTCTTAATCACACATAAAGCAACACTTGATTAAACCCTAATTAATAATAATAGGTTTGAATAGCAACATGTATTTTTATTGCTTAGAAAAATCTTAGAAAATTACCATAACACAGTACTACCCTAAGTAGTCTACCATCAGATTTTCATGGTATTTGAATGAGTGGATTAGCCTACACAAAAATAACAAGCTATGGCATGATTATGAACATGAAAATACTTTGTACTGTGAAAAGTGTCAAACAACAGAGGAAATATTTTTCCTACGTTCTACACAACAAATAATCACTGTACAAAAATTATCACATGCATGTTTTATAAAAATTTTGCTCTCTAGCAAAATTAACAGAAATCAGCCATTAAAGGCACTTGAACTACACCTCATAATTTTTCTACAGCACATGCATGACACATATTTTTCCTAGGAAGCACATTACATAAGAAGATTAACAAACTTGGAATCATATTTTTCTGAAGCCTATATGTTTTTCTACACATTTTTCAAGTTATCAGCAATATCAAGAATTAATTAAAGCTCTACAGAAAAGTATCTTAAAAATAACATGCAATATTTTTATCATGTAGATCTGGTGACAATAAACCTAGCAAAATTTGTTTCAATAAATTTGGAGCCAAAATGAGTACACAAACAATTTCCAAAGTATTTAACAGAAATCTGAAAATTCATTTCTTAATTGCTTTTTAAAACTAGCCGACAAAGTTGCTGGGTGCACCCGGTGCTGTACACCCAGAGGGGCTGCCACGCGGGACCCGCGGTCAAGCCGGACCCACGCGTCAGCCGGAGCCGAGGCAGGGCCGCCGTTGACCGGCCGGCTCTCGCCGACGGCGAGGTCCCCGACGAAACGGAGGACACCAATGTGCTCCCCATGACAAACCGTGTCGGATAGAGGTGAATAGGGAGGGCGGTTCATGGAGAGAGGCTCACCGCCGACGGCAATGGCAAGCAGCGCAGCGCAGTCGTCGCCGGTGGAGCGTCTCCGACCACGGTATGGCGAAAAGGAGGCGCCGGGAGACTCAACGTCGCGGTGTGGTGCTTATGCGCGTGGCGAAGGAAAGGCGGAAGGGAAGCGGAGAGGGGAATCCACGGAGCGGAGCTCACCCGATGAGCTTCGGCCGCGTGCTCGGCGTGAGCAATTCCCAAGGAAGGATGCTTACCACGCGCGAATAATGCGAGCACGGGTGAAGGCGGAGGCTAAGCTTGGCGAGAGACAAGTGGTCGCCGCCAAGTAGCCGTGGTGGTCGGGCGAGCCAAATCCGGCGAGGGAGCTGGTGGCGCACGCTGAGGAGCCGCTCTTCTTCTGCAGATCCTTCTTCTTGAGTGAGTGAGGAGTGGAGTGGGCGCAAGCGTGCGGGCGGCGAAGAAGGCGAGGCGGAGGGCGAGGCGAGCCGGCGGCTGCATGCATGTGACGTCGCCGGTGCATGGTCGCCACGTGGTGGTCGCGCTCTGGGCTGGTCGGAGACGCTTGTGTGCTGAACGGGCAATGCCTTGGTGTGTGTGTGAGGCGAAGGCCGTCTTGTGTGTGAGGTGGGCCGGGCCGGACGAGCGGCGTCTTGTGCGGCAGCCAAGCCAAGCTTCGGCCGTGGGGCGAGAAAAGGAGGCTATGCCCATGAAAGGAGAAATCATTTTCTCAATTTCCATTTTAAGAAATTTTAAATACCAGTTTTCAAATATCATTTTGAGCAAGAAAATGACATCTTTTAAAAATGTCCCAAAAATGAAAGTTGCTTAGAATTTAATTCTCTACAACTTTGCTTTTATGACCAAAGTCCAATTCTTGATAGATTTTGAATTATAAAATTAAAGTCAATTTTAACTCAAAACCCTAATTTTTGGAGAATTATTTTTAAAGCAAAATTTGGCAATAATTTGAATACAAACTTTGCTCCAAAAATTGTGCTAAATAATTCTAGATGATTTACAATCATAGCCAAACATGTTTTACTAACCTAGCAAGCATAATTTGGGCAAACACAACTCTAAACAAGTGTATGCAACATTCATGTTTCACGAGCATGTTTCGTATGTTTCGAAGCAGGGTTTCAGTTATTATTTACATGATTAGGCATGTATGATTATGATGTTTGATGATGCATGATATGTATGATTTGCAGTGTCTAAATGCTGGTCATAACACCGGAGTGTTACAGTGGTTGGAGCTGCATGGCATGATCCAAGGGACCTTCAGTGAGTAGACAGTATCCAGCAGGAACAAACAAGCAACCTTTGTCAGGAACTCTGGTGTGTACTCCCTCCGTCCCGGAATAAAAGCACGTCTGGAGTTTGAATTTTGTCCCACAAATGAAGGTAAATATAGGAACAGTACTGGGGCTAGCTGGCAGCTGCCGCAGCTCAGCAGCTGTAGACAATCACGTTGGGAGCAACAAAATTCTGACGGGAGCTACGTGGAAGTGTCTGGACCACTCATTTGCTTGCTCGTTTTCACTAGAGTCCTGTCCAGCGGCAGGCTGCTCCATCTGCTCCTGCATTGCTAATCACTGCACTACACTTTTTAGGGGTAAAAATGTAATTTCACAGTTCAGTATTTTACACATTTGAATCATAAACGTGCTTTTATTATGGGACGGAGGGAGTATATCCGTCCTCGAGGCTCTTTCGGGGGATTCTCCGGAGTGTATTTTCCTGTCAGGGCACCTGAACCAAGGAAATTGATTCATACATCAAAACAATACATGCATGATTTCATACTCAGATAAAGGCTAGTGAGCTTAGTTGAGTTTACCAACCAAAATAGGTACACAGTTCGTATGTATGTACTCGCAGAACAAGAAAAGGTGTGTGGAGAAGAAACAGGTTCTACCTTGAGCGATTGGGGAATACGCGATCAGAGTAACGCCAAGCTCATCGCAAGCCGCCTTCACCCCGTTTTCCTCCGGGTTCCTGTATATCAGACTGTAATTCACTTGGTTCGAAGCGAGTGGAATTCCCCTCTTCTTGAGGCGTTCATAGGCATCCCGGTGACGTTTTTCTGGCACCCAGTTATGAAAAAAAAACGAAATTGGTATGGCTTAGTTTCACTGAAAGAAGTAACCAGCATAATAATAATCAGATCACATATTATATTAGTGTTGCAGTTAGACAGCAACCGCTGTAGTTTGAGACTCCAACAGCCTTGACAAGGCCCTGCTCGACAGCGTCTCCAAGACCATCCAGGTAATCTGAATCATGCAAGATCAGTGAATTTGGTGTACTAATTAAAAACTAAAGAGGGGTTCATCAATACTTATGTATTAATTATTTTTTTCATACCTTCGTTGCCCCATATCCCTGGCCTGAAAAGGATATGCGAAGAGAGGTTAAGTTAACCAATAGAGTCCATAGAGAGAGAGAGGTAAAAGAAAGTTGGTTGAAAAAAGGCTGACGAGCCAACCAGTGAAGTTGGTAGAGCTCAACTGAAGAGACGCCAAGGCGATCCAACGAGGTCTTCAGCGCACAAATGACACTCCCACGACCAAACCTCCATGGAAGAGCTGCAAACTTTGTCGCGATTGCCACGTCTACCTGTTCCTTCTGTTGCCTTTCCTTGATAAATCTGATGGAAAGACAGAACTTCAGAACTGATACTGCACAGACTTAAATAAAGGGCGTACCAGTGCAGAGAGCTCTCGCTCTGTGCGGGTCTAGGGAAGTGTGTCAGTGGCAAATCTTACCCTCGCCTGTGCAATGCGAGGAGATCGCGACTCGAACCCGGGACCTTCCGGTCACATGCGGTAAGACTCTACCGCTTGCACCAGGCCCGCCCTTCACTGCACAGACTTAAATCACGGTATAAATAGATCCATGAAGAACGCTTCACGACATACCTTCCTAGTAAACTTTCTGAATTAATTGCTCCCGATATCTAAACGGCGGCATACATTTTGAAGCAGAGTTAGATTCACCTTGTAATGAAGCGGATGACCGGTGATAAGGCATGAAGCTTCTCTGTGTTCTTACCCCTGCTCCATACACTTCAGCGGTATCAAAGAAGGTTATTCCACAGTCGATACTCGCGTCAAATGCTCCTTTAGCCGCCTTCAGTTTCCTATCTGGTATTTTTTCAGAGTGTTCACTAACATCAGAAGGCAGCCATTCCCATGTTTTGCAATGAAAAGTACTAGTAATCATTCAACCGAATTGGCAGGCAACTAGTAAGTAACTGCTCTTACAGCTGAAGAGCATCTAATTTGGAACAAGGATTACGTTAAAAAAATCAGTGTTCTAGTTTGAAACAAGGAAATGCCAGTTTCGATGATTGTTTCAGGTTGATTTGGATTTTGGTCAAAGCAGCAGGCGCGCCATATGCACGGGAAGTATGACCAGAATTTCAGGCCAACTAAAATTTCTTTCAACGAGGTGCTAGGAATAAGGAGCACAAGTGTAGGATGATTTACCACACTTTCTGGCCCTGGGATGGGTGTCGGTTTTACTGTGTGGTTTCAACTTTCAACTTGAGTAGCGTAGTAGTACCAACCCATACCAACAAACTTGTTTCTGAAATGTCATACAAATCTGAACCGAATTTCAAAGCTGCAGCAGCCTTGGGTCGTTTAGAAATGTTTTGTCCTGCAGCTAGGATTCGTCGTTATTCACCTAGAAGGCTGGAGGATTCAGAAACTCACAGGCTATACTAGTAGTGCTGAAACAATGCTGATTTTTATGGCATAATAAGTTGGTGGAAATATCAGGCTATAATAATTCTTGTAGTATATATCCTAGTAATCACTAGCTAATTACGCGCCCTTGCAGGTAAATAAACTAAGAATACATAGAGAAAATTAGTGGAACAACTAACTAATCAGTCAATGCTGCTGCTGCTGGAAAAAAACCGCAGCGAGGTGAGATCGATTTCGAGATCCTGAACCAAGAAGAGAAACGTACCGTCCCACTGGAACTCGTTCCAGTAGGTGGTGTCGCCCCAGGACCAGGCCCCGACGCCGAGCTTGGTGACGGCGACGCCGGACCCGCAGTGACGCCTGATCTAACACAGGCGTACGTGCTAGGTTTTCTTGGTATACTGTGACGAAGCAAAGTCCTACTATGGTAAACACCATTTGTGAATTTATTTTTTTTGTTAAATATTTAAATAAAAAATAAAAAAATGTGGCGATGCGAGGAGTTGAACCCCGTACCCTCTAGGAATCTATTCATAGTGCTCTACCAAATGAGCTACATCCACAATTTATATTTTCTTTTATAATTATAGCTATTTTAAAATTGTTACCATTTTCAAAGATTTTATATTAGAAACAAGGATGTATATGCGTTTCTCCAGTTGAATATTAAAGCATTATATCTATTTTAAAATATTTATATTTTTAACTTTTATTACAAAATGCATATGTGGTTGCTACGGTTGAATATTAAATTTCACCACGTTTGAAGAACCATATGTGATAAGTATCTCATTCTAATGTCTCATCCAAATGGCAAGAACTTGGTTTCCAATTTAGGTGCTACTTTTCCTTCTAAAGTTAGAATTTCTTTTATTTCAAGTTACGATATATATTTTTTAAACAAAAGCATTTTAGGTTGGAACTTTTCTCTCATGAAATTAGTATATTTTCTCTTTTATTATGATTTATGTTCAAAGACGTTAAGGTTCTTTCTCTTTCCAAGGACATTTCTTTTGTCCAGCATGAAACATTTAGATGGTGTTTGATTCGTGAATATGTAACATTATCTGATTACGGAGGGAAATGGAAAGTCTCCATACTCGTGTTTGGTTATGGTCAGGCCGTAATCAGATATGGCCCTATTCACTTTTGATTCCTCTCCTTCCTCAGCGATATCACATTACTGGCCGTCGTGACTCGCTCCCTGTGCTTCACAATAATGTTGTCAGTGAGTGAACCAAAGACCATGTCATTTTTTTCCATGGTCCAATTCTATGTTACATTATTTTTGCCTGACAATATTAGCAAGTATTTTTTTCTAGGATTCAAACTGGATCGTGTGGATTTTTTAGAATTTAAACCGACATCCTCTTCCTTCATGTGAGCCTTCCTTACCATTCTACTACATAGCTACATACTTTTGGAGTATTGTTGATAGCAATATATAAGAACCATTTCTTTTAAATCTTTAATGGAAAAAAACATTTTAGTGGCAGTTTTCTTAAGCCAACTACATGTAGAAATCATTTCGAAGGTGGCTGGTTTAATAAGTAACCACCTGTGAAAATCGTTCCAAAAGCTATCTTTTTAAAACAAATCTGACATTGTAAGCAATGTTTTGGCCCCTAAATAATTTCAAATAAAAAATCATCAACTACATAAATATAGATCTTGTTGAGCTCCATAATTTGATTATAGCTAACTTCCTATGAACAAGTTATTAATTTATATACAGGTCCTCTAGAAATATATTTCTAGCGATGATCGTTTTAAGACAACCACCTCTAAAACACAAGGCCTTTTTCGATGGCATTTTTTTTAACCAAACCTTCTCTAGAAATACCAGTTTCAAGTGGAGGGTGGTGGTAGGCAATCAACTTGTGTAGCTTATAGCACATGCATAATAAATTATGAACCACCGGCGAAAAACTGAGGTGTGGGTAAAAATGATTCTTTGAAATATAGTGTAACTTTTATGCAAAAGTATCATATGGGGGCGGCTTTTGGTACATTTCCCTTTTCAGTTGGCGCATCTTGGAAGCCGGAAACAGCCGGCACCATGGGTCTTAATTCACTGTGGGACTTAATTCGGCACGGTGCCTGAGACTGCACACTACTTGGAAATGAAGATTTCATGAGTAAAAGAAAACGCCACGAAAGTATAAATAACACAATGAAAACAATGTGTGAGAGTCAACCGTCATGAAATAACCCTCACAAATCAAACACCAGGGGAATCACATTTTTGTGTGGAGGTTGACCACCATGAACTTTTTTCATGACGGTCATTCATGCCAGTGACCTCCACAAAAATTAGGGTGTCGTCAGGTTTGTGCAAGCATTTTCATGGCGGTGTTATCTCCACAAAAATAATTTGTGCGAGTTAAAAACCGTCATGAAAATGTATACCTCAAAAATATATTTTCATAAGAGTACAGAACAACTATGAAAATGCATTTGTACCGCAAGGAACACGTGATTTTCATGATAGAAGATTGCCACAAAAAAGCATCTAATAACCCACATGAAAATGAAGCTTGTGCCCATGGTTCCAGGCATAATGATTCAACTGGCAAATTCATAAAACTAACAATCATTGTTAACTAAACATATGCACATATAGAAAGTTAAATCTCATTCAAGCAAATCCCAGAATGATCCCCAATTGTTACATTATATTTTAATAAAGATAATGTCATGTGTACAAATGTACACCAACACTAAGTCATGGGCATTCACTTGAAGTGGTGAACAATGCCTTGAATAAACAACCAAGTGCACAAAAACCTATACTCACATTATATTCTTTAACTATATTTGACATAACCAAATTAGGCGCCGTCCATATTTCCCCGTTTCAGTTTACGATGGCAGGAGCAAATTCAGCTTGCTGGGCAGCTTTCTCAAGGCCTTCAGCCTGTAATTGTTGCTGAGAATTAGGAAACCATGCCACAGTAAACCATACCAAGAAGCCAAGCTGCACTTAGTCGTTGGTCGTCATGGCCTTACGTTTCTTTTTATCTATTATATTACCACTTACTTAAAAAACGAGATGAGGTTTCGTCCACAGCTTCTTCGTGTGCGCGCCCACCCGACGCTGGATCGAGTTCGTCTCGGTTCTCTCCCTTCCGTGAAAATTCGATCCGTGCGCGTACACACGGACAACAGCGCCCCCAGAGGCGCGTCGCCCAGCTCCCTGCTCAGATGTGTGCGCGACCTCGCAAGCGGGGGAAGACGGTCGCTGTCACAGACGCAGAGAAAGAAGCCGTCGGGCGCGGGCGCAGCCGTCGAGGTAGGCGCAGCCGCGGCCACCCGGCACGGAGGAGTTGCAGGGCGCGGCCGCCGGGCATGGACACAAGAGCTCGCGCTCGCCGCCGTGCAGTCGCATGCACCCGCGCTGTCCGCTGCCACGCGCTCGCCGATGTGCTGCTAAGCTCAAGGCTGGCGCGCCGCGCCACCACGCGCCTGTCTGTGAGCACCCCTGCCACGCCGCGCACCCACCCTCCGCCGCGCCATGCACGCCTTGCCTGAGCGGTCGCATCTAGCGCAGAGAAGAAAGAGAGTATGGGGACGAGACTCACGGCAGTGGCGGCGGATCTAGAAACGATACAAGAGGGAGGCTAAATAGTAGAAAAGCTAGAAATCCTACAACAGATCAGCGTCGGATGGGGCTGAACGCGCCTAGACTTTGAACTGTTTTGGATTGGAGACTGAAGAGGCGTTCTTAACTGTTTCAGGCCACGCCCCGGGCTGCAGCCCCCCTAGCCCGGAGTCTCACGAGATGGAGAAAGGAAAAGATAAGGAGAGAGAAAAGACGGTGGTTTAGGAGAAATTTAACCGTGGATTGAATGAGTTGTTTCGTTCTTAAAAAAAAAGAATGAGTTGAATTGAACGTGGAACCTACTGAGTAGTGTTAGGGTTAGGACTAACTAAAAAAACTCCAAAAATATCTACTTCCATCAGTATTTGCGTCCGTTTCCCCGCTTTTTTATATGCATATGTTGCATACCCAGTTTCCCAATCATTCACATAGACATAGAAACGATCAGTCTAACACACGTTGGCCGAGAGTACACCGCGAGGAGAGCACGGATGAGCTCAATCAGCGCCCGTGCTGCCGACTTCATGTGCGAACACACAGCAAGAAGAGCATGGACAGGCCTGATCAGCATCCGCACCGCCTGGACTTCAATTTACGTGGACGGCATGGAGAGCACAAACGGCTCTTCCCTAGCCTAGGAAGAAAGACAAGCCGCCGAAGATGACATCACCAATGGCAATCTAGCGCGGAGCTGCTGACCCAGTGGGGGCGCTATCTCTCGAGTTCCTAAAAAAAGAGAGAGCTCGTATAGAAGCCAACGCGCACTGGGCTAGATGCCGCTCAGGGTGGGCGTTCGGTTCTCGGTTCCAAGAAAATGGGAACCGATCGGTTCCAAAAAAATTATAGGAACCGAACATTTCGGTTCTCGGTTATTTCAGTTTGGTTCCGGTTTTAACCGAACTAACCGAATTTTTTCAGCAAAGGTTAATACAACAAAAAAATATGTTGGTTTTAAAGCAAATTTAGGCAATGTTGCCTCTAATTTAGATAATAATAATTGATAAGGAAACAACAACAATATAGTAACACAAATACATAGCAATTCAGTATGAGACATCACATAAAAATCAAACATAGTCTTACAAAATACAAATAAGTGAAGTAAAATTCATGATTTTCGGTTCTTTCGGTTAATTCGGTTATCCAAGAGTAGGAACCGAAATTTTCTCGGTTATTTTGGTTCCTAAAATTTGGAACCGAATAAGAAACCGATTTTTTTCGGTTTTGGTTCTTTCGATTTCGGTTCCAGTTCCAGTTCTTTTGATTCGGTTTCGGTTAAGTATGCCCACCCTGAGATGCCGCACCGCACGAGGCTACCGAGGTGAGGTCGTCGCTGGAGAGCTGGTCACCAAGCTGGTGAGCGTTGAAGCTTACTGCTCGGAGCTCAAGAAGGCACTGCGGCAGGCACCAATTCGTCGTAGGTTTCCCGACTACGCAACCTTAGATGGAACATGTTTCTGTGCAAGGGAACTAAGTACTATAGCGACGTGTCATCGCCACCTGAATGGAATTGAAAATAGTTTCGCGTTCCAAATGCAAAATCACTTATTAACTTTTTATTATTTTGTAAAAATAATAAAATCCTTCATTGACTCATTGTAGACGTGGGCAAAAATTTGTGGCCCCGATGCAACACACGGGCATGTATCTAGTAAAAAAAAAGAAAAAGAAAAGAAAGGCCGGGCGTTTAGTTAGTTGTTGACCTTTCTGCATTGTACATCCGGTTGGTTACTGAACTATATATGATCACATCAGAGCATATAAAAATATATATTCTGTACGGCAGGGGAGTTCTGTCGCTAATACTTCATTAGGTGAAACGACGGCATCGGTCAAAGTCAACAAAAGCTTCAGCCTTTTATATCATATATTCTTCAGGCGGAGTCCAGGATAGTTGTCCCTGCCTACCAATTTATATTTTTGACAAAGTAGTTAAGCAGATGGTATATATAGGGCGAAAAAATAAAGGCACTTTTCAAATGCGGCTATCCAATTTATTGTTTATTTGGAATTCCCTGTGGAACTCGTGTGTTTGTGATAATTTATTAGCATATGGTGGGATGAGCCAAGGTAAAAATACAATTAAATCGAATTCCTTTTTTGTTTCTATTTAGATCAGTGACTTTTTATTCAATGGTTAAAAGTGGTGGAGTAGACCTGTTTTTTTTTTTCAAAACTAATGATATATACCCTCTTTCTCTCCGTGTAGAAAAGGAAGAAATAAACCAATCAAAACACTTTAGGAGTTAAGAACAGTGTTTCACTGTTTCAGTGCTTGTTTGTTGCATAAGTACTAGCAGACCTGCACAGCCTTTTAAATTTGAGTTTTTTTTCAGAATAACAAACACCAGTTCTGTCTTGTCAATTATTTGGGGTGTTTATTTCCGAAAAAAGTCAATATTACATAAATCTTATGGAAACACATAGAAAGATTACTCTGGCCTATATATATAGCCCACAATAAGTTAATCAATTTTGTAAGTTGCAAGGGAATTTTTAGGCATGCCATCACCTATGACGGCAATGATAAATAATTACCACTCATCAGTTTGTCTTCTCAATTGACATCTGTATTCAGCGTTGATGTTCCTTTTTTTCCCCTTCTAAACCATAGGAGCATCTTTCAAGATTTCTTTTTACGCTGACATAAGTTTTTGTGTAGAAAGACAGATTTCACATGCCTTCTGCAAGTAGGAACCATCTTTCCTTCTCATACAGGGAAATAAATGAGTATACGAAAATTGGATTGATATGTAAATGTACGTATACAACGGAAGAATACATCAACAAGTATATATAATCATAAATATCTGCTCATGCCAAGAACACAGTATGTCCAGCAAATTAAAAACATCATCGAATCAATCATGACAACAATTCAGACATCGGTAGATGCCGCACAAGCGCTTCAGGCCGAAGGAGGTGGCGCCAACAAAGGCATCGGCACACCGGGGATAGAGGGCATCGGCGGCAGTGTCACCTTGGGCATGGGTGGCAGGGTAACCTTCGGCACGGCCGGCATCGGAGGCAACGCGGCGGCGTTCGGCACGGCGGGCACCTTGGGCATCGGCGGCAAGGTCGCCGCTGGGACCGCCGGCACCGATGGCATGGGCGGCAAGGTCGTCGCGGCAGGGACGACTGCCGGCACCGCGGGGATCGGTGGGACGGCGCCCACCGCAGGCACCGTCGTCGGCACGGCGGGAATCGGTGGCAGGGCGCCCACCGCAGGCACAGTGGGCACGACGGGCGGCTTCGGCACGGCGGGAATGCCTGGAACGACGGCGGCGGGCGCGGCCGCCGGGGTTGTGTCGGCGAGATGGCGCGCCGCGAGGGTCGTCGTCGTGCCGCTGAGCATGAGCGCCACGACGAGCGCCGCCGTGGCGAGGAGACCCGATGCAGAGGAGGCCGCCATGGGTGTTTGCACGGTTCTTGATGTTCTCACCTTACTAGCTAGCTAGTAGCTGCTATAGCAAGAGACTGAACACGTATTGAATTAAAAGCTGTTTACCTGTGATGCAAAGACATGGGCAATGCATGCCAATTTATAGGCCACGGACGGACGTACAGCTTGTGCAAATTGGTCTCGTCAACTCATCTGCGGTGAGATTTTGCCTTTTTTGGTCACCTTCCGCGCAGCCGTGTCAAGACGACAGTAGTTGAAGAATTTTGGTGAGGGGAGATAGATGCGGCGATCGAGGTTGACACCGGTCGATTGCATGTAACAATACATTATTTTCTCTTGTTAGCTCACCTTTTTGGATGACATTGACACATGCATCTCTTGAGCTCAAACTGTCAAACTCAAACATGCAGGAGATCACTGGCGGAGCCACCCTAGCGGCGGGGTGGGGCGGCCGCCCCAGCTACCGGCGAGCTCGTCCCAGACCCCCGGACCCCCGCTTCTTCCTTAAACTCAGGTCCCCGGCGGCGAGGAGTCGCAAGCACGAGCAGAGCAACCTGCGCGATGCTGCACGGAGGAAGAAACCGGAAGATGGGCTTTTTTCTTCACATTGTTCAGCCCAATAGAGGTGAGAGGCCCGCCCATCGTCGCACACTGCTTCCCTAAGCCCAATTGGCAACCAGTGGATTCGCTCCCCGATTCCCCAATTTGCAGCGACGCACCGACGCCCTAGGCGAGGTCGCGACTCGCGAGGAGTTGGTCGCCGCCCGCCGCCCACTGGCTAACAGGGCACCACGCCACACGGACGCGGAGTGCCAGAGTGGCCACTCGCCCACCACCACCCGCCGCTCGACACACCGGCTCGCCACCAGGCCCTCCCGACGCCGCCCGGCGTCCCCGCCCGCCTCCTAGCGCTGTTGGCTTCTACTGCTCTGCTCCGATGGAGGGAGGAGAGGAGGAGGTCCATCACGAGGAGGGTGAAGGTGTATATGGATTAAGTGATCAAGAACTTTTAGTTTATTCTTCAAATTTGAGGTATGTGAACATACCATTTGTGATTGCAGCGTTTTTGTAATAATTGGGGTGATTGTAGTATGTGAATTTTGTGTGATTGTAGTATGTCAATAAGGTGCGATGTGAATGCGGTGCCTTTTGGTTCATTTTGTCGCTGCAATTCGCCCCAGCTATAATTTTTTCCTGGCTCCGTCATTGCAGGAGATGCTCAAGCTAGCGCTGTGCGTCTGCATGCACATACAGTTAAGCTGCTGGTTGGTTTCAGAGCTATGATGATCACATATATTCACATCAGCACAAGAGTTCTTTTATACACCACGTACGGGGTCCTCCTCTGATCTGTTAAACATTATTAGGACATTAGGTAGAACAAACAGACAGCAATGCAAGATGTGTAGAAAAGGCTGGTGGTGGTTCTCACTTCTCACCTCGCCTGCCTACCACAGGTCCACAGCGTTATATGCTTTTTGACGAGTTGAACAAGGGAAATGCTTTACGTCCAATTCGTTTACACAAAGCAACTCCGCTACAACTTATTACAAGCAGGTGATTTGAATTTTTTGCGAATATAAGGGGGAATTATATTAAAACTTGACACAATACATTCATAAATTATACATAAAAAATTAAAATAAAAAAGATACATTTTATCTAGATTTTTCTGTCTTCTTTCCTAGTGTTTTTTATGTCCCCTAGTAGCTTTTTAGATGCAGTTAAACACCAAAGTCAGAGAGTAGTTCTTATATATGTTGAATCCAACGATCAACCTCAATCCTACAGCATGGGATATGCTAGTAGTTTAAGCCATTTGTTGATCTCCTAGTTATAAAGGCTGGAACCTTGTTCCATTATCTAAAAAATAAATGAGTTGGGTTTAGATTTATAATGGTATGGTGTGTTGGTCTGAGCAATGCTAGTACTGTTTTTTTTTTTACTTTTTTAGAGGAGGCAAATAGTACTATTTTTTTAAGTATGGTTCAATTTAAAATTTTATAATGCAAAGGTCTTGGCCCCAACGCCTCTGTCCGCCCACGGCCTTTTTTCTCTATTCAATATATACAGGGCAACGTTTGTTTTGAAAATATTTAATTTGGCCAATAATTAAGAAGTAGAACTCATGGCTACACGTATCACATGATAAATCGTTTGGTATGCATCTTGAGCATGTTCACCGGATTGAGAAAAATAATAATTCCCTACAACTAGTTAAAGGAGATTGAGAAAACAATATCCTTGGTTAAAGGAGATGGTTGGGCCAGTAGATTGAGAAAAATCGCGCCCCCAATATTACCTTTCCCCCATTTCTCTCCTGTTTTTTTGAGAATTACACAGTATGACGTAGACGCCCACAACACGCACGGACACTCACCCCTATGAACACACGTAAACAAACCCTACCCCTATGAGCACCTTCGAAGGATTGAGCCGACATATCTTGAGATTCACGAAGTCTTACATATATCATGTCCTAAAAACCTTTTTTCAACACCAATAAAAATTCCAATTTTTTTATGATTTTACTACACACACAATTGAACAACATTTCAAATCCATAATTCAGAAGTCTTTAAATTCAAATTTTAAATTTAAACAAAATATAGGTTTGAATGCATGAAACACACCTAGAGTCAAATGCATCAAACATAGAGAATCACATACCCCTACTCTCACTCCCATTGCCTCCAACGACTCATACTAAGATTTGAGCATATATTGCCTACACATACATCCTTTGTGTCATCAAGGCATGTTGTGTCCATGAACATGATCTTAGCGTCACGCTCTTGCTCCTTGCTATCACTACCTTAGACAGTTTTTTTCATGACGGATGGTACAGTCAGGGAAAATGTTAGGGAAAGTCTTCCGTGATGGTAACCATCAGGGATACGCCCTCAGGGAGAGGCTGACATGGAAAGTCCATCTCCCTTGATGGAAAACCGTCATCGATTGATAACTGACGGTTCTAGCTAGTCATCAGTAAATGGCTTTCATGTCAATTTTTTCCTTTTTCAACATGAAAAAGATTTTTGGTGATCCCACAACCACCTTTTCCTTTTTATGAGGGGAATAACCTTCCCTGTTAGCGCCTAGCAGTGAGGAACAAGAGGTTTCCGGTGATTTTGTGAGGACGAAGGTAGCATGGAGATGAAAAGATTTAGGGGACAACCAAAGAAGTCACAGACTCTTGGGCGCAGGAGAGGATAAGGTGGCTGTGGAAAAAAAATTGTTTTGCGTGCTTTGCTTCTCTCTGATATGTGGGCCAGACAGGGGATTGGAGCGTACGATGTGTCAAAAGTTATTCCCCTCGGTACACTGGCAACGTAGGGGAAGGTGGAGGCGCTCGTAACGGAGGTTGCCAACCGAAGGGAGTATGACTCCGCCGGAGAACAACAGTTTTGGTAGTGCATTCATCTCATCGGTCCACATCTGTACCTTCTCCACTTTTCTCTTAGACTCCATTTTCTTGTTTGTTTGTCATCATCTCTTGGATCTCCTTGCATTTCAACACCTTTCTCCTTTCCTTATCCTCACTTTCTCTTGCTTCCTCCCCGGAGGGCTTTTGGGTGTGTTTGGTTGGTCTGTTCCACTCATCCTGCATGAGCGGAGCCGTATAAATCTGAGCGAGAAGGTTGTTTGGTTGGCTGCATGCCTGCATGAGCGGATGCAATTGCAAGAGTGGATACATGCTAGTGGGATACGCTTAAATCGAGCTTCACTGCCAGGCTAGGCTGAGTGGATATATGATGAGTGTGATGGGCCCATGTGTCAGTCTCATAGGTTAGACATGTTGCATTCGCTCATGCAGGCAACCAAACATCATCTTAGTTTTTTCTGCTTCTGCCCATGCAACCTCACCAAACACCTTCTTTAATTTTCTGAAGTACGGTTCCACTCAGCCTACATCCCCTTAGCCATGCAAGCCCCATCCACCAACCAAACATACCAGTTCAACATATAGAAGTACTAATTGTTTGGAAAAAATAATGAATATTCCTTCAAGTGAACTAGGCCCGCCCCTGTAGACATTTGAACACTGACTTGTTTTAAACACAATTTTTGCACGTCTTCTAAAACTCATTATAATATATGTTGTTTAATGAAAACGTTTTTTTTCTTTTGCAGAGCAAAATTCTGTCTGAACTACGAAGAAGATGCGAGTACTGACATTTTGCAATGAACGTAAAGTGACTAAATTAAACTCATATACTTACAACAGCACGAAATAGCCGGGGTGATATGTGTACAATGTGCAAACACTTAAATCAAACGACCAAGTATCAGAAAAAGTTTTACTTAAAATAATGCCAAATGCATGAACTAGAATTTAGAATGGAGAGAGTATACGTATAAGTATATATACAGCAAACATAAAAAGGACTGGAAACAAAAAAAAAAAGAATTCTCCAACCAAATCTGGCAATCTGCTCATGAGCAGACACCATTCCCAGCAAACACGAGATCAAGTGATCAACTCTCGATGGACAATCAGACGACAGACTCACACTCCACGTCTCTACACAGTTACACATGCATCTCGCCACGGAAAGATGCTTGATTATGCCGAAGGAGGTGGCGCCAAGAATGGCATTGGCAAGCCTGGGATGGAGGGCATCGGCGGCAAGGTGACCTTAGGGACGGCGGGCATCGGCGGCAAGGTCACCTTGGGCACGGCGGGGACGGCCGGCACCGTGGGCACTGCGGGCATCGGCGGGAGGGTCGCCTTGGGCACGGTGGGGACGGCCGGCATAGGGGGCAGCGCGGCGTTTGATACTGTGGGCGCCGCGGGCATCGGCGGTAGGGTCGCCGCGGGGACCATTGGCACCGTGGGTATAGGTGGCACGGTGACCGCGGCAAGCGGTGGCAAGGCCGCCGTGGCAGGCACCGCAGGCACGGCGGCAGGAGCGGCTGCCGATGTCGTGTCGGCGAGGTAGCGCGCAGCATGGCACGTGCTGCTGCCGGCGAGCATGAGCGCCATGACGAGCGCCGTGGCGAAGAGAGCTGAGGCAGCAGAGGCCATGTGCGCTCTTGATCGACCGGTTACTGGTTGCGAGCTGCTAATAGCTAAACTAGCTATTGGAACTCTGACTGTTTAGTGATTACTAGTGATGCAAAAGACATGCGCAATGGATGTCAATTTATAGGCCTACGGCCTGTGTAAATTGGTCGTCACCGTCTCACCGATGAGCTTTTGAGTTCTGATCACCTTCCGAGCCATACGGTTTTTGTTTAAGAGAGGGTGGATACCGGCCGGTTTGACGATGCTTCTCTGGTAGCTCAGCTTCTTACATGCAGGACACTGAAGGTGTGCCGCATCTACATATCTGGTTGGTTTCTAAACTATGATGATGACATCAGCAGATTTGTTTTGTAGCATTAGGTACAAAAATAGTCAACAATGCAAGTGAACTAGTGAAGGTAGAGCTTGTGTGATTTTAATTCAATTCACAATCCATTGCAAAAGAAATTGCACAAAAGCTCCAAGACGCAAACACGCATGCCATCAATTTAATCATAGGCGGGCAGACATCTAATTTTTTATTTTCGTTGAAACATAAAGCGAATTGCCAGCCTTCCCATCAATTTTTGGATTGTAATGATAGGCGCATGCAACTCAATATAATCTTTCCTTTTGTGAGCAAACTCAATATAATCTTTGGAGTCATAGGTTTCGAGTTTGAATCCTGGCCAGCACAATTAAATAAAAAAATAATTGTTGCTCGCTTCTATTCCACGTCTGAGGGAGTCTCTATGTGAGAGTGAGCGTCGTTGAAATATATAGTGAATTGTCCGCCTTCCTTGTAGTTCTAACTTGTTTCATTCATATTTGGGCCCCTGACGGAAAGTATTGCAGAAATAGGCCCTTCGGACGGTGCCAAAGGATATGGTGTTGTAGGTATACAGCATGGTGCCATGTGCCTGCTTTGTCGTAGAGTTTTGCCAACATGGCAGCAACTCCAAAAGCGCTAAGGGGCTATGACGAGGTGAAATGTACATGACAAGGAAGGGCTCACGACGAACCACGTCATATTAATTGGGCTAGCTCATGTCAATAAGCATGGTGCCATAGATATCCAGATATTGGTGCCATGCTGCTCGCCAAAAGCTCTAAGGGCTATGACGCCGAAAAAATTTCAGTAAGGACCATCCTTACCAAGACGTGGTGCAGACTGGGCAGCTGATACGTGGTCACAGTATCATTTTAAATGTCCGCATGGTAAATTAGATGCTCCTCACGATGGCTAGGTAGAGATGGTCCTCGCCGAATTGTTTTCCTATGACGCTGGCCGTGCTAGGGGATTTAACCACAAGCCTACGCCCACAGCCCACCCTCTCCCACCTTTGGTTTGAACATGCATCGTGTGTTGCACACCGAAAGTGCCAAGGGCTACAATATTGTGCTAGAGGAGTTAACCTCAAGCATGTGCCCACCCCTCGCAGCCTCTGTTTAAACATGGTAGGAGCAATCACGTTAATGTACATACTCCTCTCGAACACGGAAAACCTAATCGCCCAAAGCAGTAACAATGTAGAAAACAATGTGTTAAATAAAAGAGGTGTCTAGCTTACACGAGAGGATGTGAATAATGCTCCCAAAAACCTCATGGCCTAAGGCAGTAGCAATGTAGTAGAAAACAGTGGTGTTAAAAGGAGGTGTCTAGCTCGCACGAGAGGCTGAGGAAATTAATAATAGCCTCTCTAATAGGCAGAGAAAGATGTCAGTTACTGGTAAACAATGTTTCATGACCGCAATAACCAGACGTCGACTCGACTTAACTCAGCACATGCACGTGCCTTTTTCATTCATCAACTTTATAATGGGTGAACGCAATCGCTATCTATTGAAATCGAGTCAACATGTAGTCAGTATTCTCTATAGGATTATATGGGCCTTCAATCTGTTTGATTTGATTGAATATAAATGGGCCAAGCCCAACTAAATCCAACCCATTATCTAAACATTTTTAGACCAACCTGTCTTTTCCAAATAAAATACATTGCACATGAACAAACTTTTGGTTTCCCTACTGTTGCGTGGCAAAATTCACTTAAAAAAACTGCCAGTAAGATACAGATACTGCCATTCTCCAAAACAAAGTGCGTACTATAAATAAACTCAAATACATGATACAATACACGGGATAGCCGAGCGGCACTCTGTACATACGTATACACTTACAAGTTACAATCAATGACCACCAACCAAAAGAAAAAAAAAAGAGGACAGAAAATGAACTGACAAAACTTAACACAATATATATAATTTTGAAAAAGACTCAATACAATATATAGAAGTATATAGAATCACATATACATACATAAAAAGGGGAACAAATACAACTTCTAAAAAAAAGGGAACAAAATACTCCAAGCAAGTAAATCTGCTCAAGAAAGGCAGCATGCATGCACAGATTGATCTCGAGTGATCAACTATCGAATACTCGATGAACAATGAATCAGACACCGGTGAACTGAATTATGCCGAAGGAGGCGACGCCACGAACGGCACGGGCACGCCCGCCGGGATGGAGGGCATCGGTGGCAGTGTCAGCTTAGGCACGGCGGGCACCGGCGGCAAGGCGCCGCCAACCTTAGGGACGACGGCGGCGGGCACCGGCGGCAGAGTCACCTTTGGCACGGCGGGTACAGCCGGCATAGCGATAGGGGGCAGCGCGGCGGTGTTCGGCACTGTAGGCACAGAGGGCACGGTGACCGCGGGGATCTTGGGCAACGCGGGGATCGGTGGCACGGCGCCCACCGCAGGCACCGCGGGGATCTTGGGCAACGCGGGGATCGGTGGCACGGCGCCCACCGCAGGCACCACCGTCGGCACGGCGGGCATCGGTGGAAGGGTGGCCGCGGGCACGACCGGCGGCTTCGGCACGTCAGGAATTCCCGGGACGGCGGCCGGAGCGGCGGCCGGGGCGGTCGTCGTGTCGGCGAGATGCCGCGCGGCGTGGCACGTGCTGCTGCCCCCGAGCATCATGATGAGCGCCATCATCACGAGTGCCGTGGCGGAGACGAGAGACGAGGCGGCGGAAGCCATGGTGGCTAGCTGCTTGCAGAAGTGCTTGCTCAGGAACTAGAAGTAGCTAGAAACTGAAGGCGCTTGGTTGCGATGGAGATGCAAGACATGGGTTGTCCTCGCCGGGCATTTTATAGCTTCATTCCGGTGCTGTGAGCACGTAATTCGCGCCAGCCACTTGGGAAGTTGGGAATTGGGATAGATGGTTCATGGTTGGTGGCCTTCCTTCCTGTGCCACTGGTACAGAAAACGTTTTCACAGGCGGTGGTAGAGGCATTTATACTCTGTGCCAAGTCCACCGTATGTATTAGAGGTCAGTACTAATCGGCCCATAGTATAGGCGGCGGGCTGTGAGCCGCCTTTGAAAAAAAAGGGTTTTTCACAGGTGGCTCACTTTGTCACCGCATGTGTAAATAGTTATTTACAAAGGCTCACTTTGTCACCGCTTTGTGAAAACCCATTTTTCACAGACGGCTCACTCACTGTGTGCCTTTGTGTAATTATTTTTTTTATTTCAAATTTTAATATTTGCCTCCACATTGTACTATATTTGTCACACACACACACATATATATATATATATAAAAGATATGCAAACATGAACCATAAAATTGCATCATACATACAACACATATAAATATTACAGATGTGTACACATGAAATCAAACATCAAGCATAAAATTACATATAATACACGTCATTTCATGTTATGAGTTCAACCATTTGGTGTTTACATGTCATTTTCGTTTCAAGTTTAGACCTGCTAGGTGCATCGGTAGCTCTAAATCTTTCACTTGCTAAATCACCGGCTTCATAAAAATATGATCCGGTACTTGGAATTATTTCTCTCATAATAAAACGCGCATAAGTCTGCTACTATATCTTCCATAGTTTTTGGAGTGAATGGCACGTCCTTTCCTTTGCTTCTCGGCTGGAAACAAAGTTTAAAAGCATCATTGACACATGTCCAATATTAATATTTCCAACTTTAATGAGAAAACTTCATACATAGATATTTTTTACCATATTTTTGTCCTGACGACGTATCGTCCCCGGCTGCCTTATGAACTCACACACATAGTATCCACGATGAGACCGATCCGGTGGTTGCTTGTGGCACTATGTAATTAATGAGCAAAAGATTAAACTAAAATTGTCATGCCTTGTGTATTATTTATATGATGATATGTGTTCGGACAACTTACCGGATAATGGTGTTGTATCGTCAATGGCACACTAGGATCGAAGCGGCGGCGTCGACCGGTCCTTTTTGCTTCTTATAAAACCGCCATGCCCTGTAGATATCGAATATAAAACACTATAGTTATTTAGAAACTCTAATTCATATAAGTACGGATGTGGTTGCATGTTGGCTCACCTTTCTAAATGAATCGGGGAATGTTTGATCTGTTGAGGAGGATAATGTAAGGAGTCTAGGACAAGCACCTTCCCTTTGAATGGATAAATATAAAAAACAATCCAATGGTCCTTTGCATGAATAAAAGCGAGTGAGCGACACATGTACTTAGGGTTAACACGATAATTTGAAGTACATATACGAGGTCACGCTTACCCAAAGTTGTAGGGTGCCAATATAAAATCCCTGTACTTATATCTCAAAGCATTGCTCTACCGATATAGAGGGCATATTTGTCCTCGTATTTTCGTTACAATTCCTTTACTGACTTCGCAACTTGTTCAGTGTTTTGTCCTTCTCTATCTTTGCTCTATCTTCATTTGTAAGTACAAATTTGTGCATATTTTCTTGTAACCTGATTGGACTCAGGTAACCGACCATCGATCCTGTAGTTAACGATCTCGCTCGTGGTCTTGCAAACTACATACAACATCCACATATTAGAGTTTATCACATTCCAAATTTAATAATAACAATGTGTGTGCATGAGTGATACTTACGGGCACCAGATTGTAATGAGTTGGACGTCAAGTTTCCTATAGTTCAACAGCGAGTGCATGTCCTCGAAGTTAACAAATGCCCCGCTTTTATCCTTGCCGATAGTAAACACGTCTGCTTTGGTATGTCAACACTAATCGCATGCGAGCCAGCATTCACCGCTCTCATGTACCGATCATGAAACCTTTTTATCGTCCATGGACCCTTTTCAAGCATCGTCCATTGCAAGCATAGGCCTTCCGGGCACATAGTTCTTTGGGGACATTGACATAATCATCAACCGTTGGCTTTCTTATATCCTTAAGGGTCAATGGTGTATTTGATGGCGGTTCGACATGTACATCGCCACTTGGGGCTTCCTTTGTTGGTGGCACGGCTTGATTTGCTTGGCGGCGGCTTCCTTATACGTGACGGTTCGAGCTCAACGACTCGTGCCGTCTGGCCGCTTTCAAGCCCTTCGAGAAATAGAACTATACTCTTTGCTTTCCCTTTTTTGGCTCATAGGGAGAAACCAATTTTGGAATTGGAAATTTCTTTGCCTTCTTGGAGGCCGGTGCTTGTGGGGGAGTTTGCTCGCTTCCTTATGCTTTGGTGGTGGCGGGGAGTTTGCTCATCTTCATTCTGCTTTGGTGGTGGCGGGGAGTTTGCTCTACCTCCTTCTTTGGTGTTGTGTCCTTCTTGGTTTGGTGAGTCTGCTTTGCTCGAGCATGTTCTTCTTGGCCCCTCGAGCTCATCCGGCGAGAATGACATATCATGTATTGGGGATGACGACGGTGGCTCATAAATATACTGGGGATCTTTGGGGCATGCATTGGCGATCTTGGCTATTGACTTGTTTCGACCTCTTGGGATGCTTGATACCTTTGGTGGAGAGGGTGTCGTTGGTGGATCAATCAACCTTACGTACCGTCTCGGCCATTGTATGAAGTTCTTGATTGCTTGTCCAAGCTTCTCTATACCCTCAGAGGTCGGGATGTCGATGAAGTCGTCTTCATATCCACTCTCGACCGTCAACACTTCCACCTGCGGTATGCATCTTGCATCTCGACACCATGGAACCTACGTCCGGGGATGGCATTACTGTGGCCACTTGCTTTGTATCTTTGATTCCTAAGGCCATATCCAATTAACAATGAGCAAGGCCAAGGTTTATCAATATAAATCAAGCTGGATAATGGTCCGATTTGATGTTGACGCTTATTTGCTTGGAAAGGGCATAGATTGTGTGGCCATCTCACTGGCTACCCAAGGGTTGAGTGGGACATCTTTGCATATATGAAGGAGCTTGTGATGACATATGTTGAGCGGAACCTTTGCTCCGCCAACCGCTTCATCACTTGAGGATCGGGGTTTTTAACGAAGTCTTCCATCAAATCCCTAAATTTTTTGGCGACTTCTTGCTGCTCAAAAAATCCTTCATGTGCTCCTTATGTCGTTCTCTTTTCTTATACATGCCTTTCCACTCTTCACCAAACCCTTCTTTCCGGTGGTTCTAGATGAGGCGCCCGTACACGACACGGATGCTCGGGGTTACCTACAACATGATATTTAATGTCGATTGTCGATTTCTATTTTACTCGAACAAAATGGAAAATATAATTTTGTTACCTAGAGCATGGGAAAGGCTGTCCCTCTCCTCTATGACTTAAAGGCACTGTCTTTTCAGTTTGTTGCTTCCAAAACCTTCTCAAGAATCGGCTTGATCTCATCGGGACAGAGATCTCATCGCTCTCGGTGTTTGCCTTCCGAAGCGTGAAGCCAATTCGCACTTTGTTACGGCACTATCTCATCAATGCCAACTTGCCCTCTCTCCTCTTTGCTTCGTCTTACGCCCTCCATTTAGGAATCTTGGTCTTGTAACCTTGATGTGCCGAGGTGGTGGTGGTACTTGTTCTTCTTCGCAAGTCTTGAGGCGGCTTGGCTCTTAGCCTTGGAGTCGTCGGAGTTTTTATGACACTAAAACGTGCCCTTTGTTACTGCTTTGTGATAGGGTACCGCTTCGTTGGGTCCCATATACAGTGACCACTTTTTATTCATATCGTGCCTATAGCCCCGGAATGATATTGCTAATCGCTTCATGACATGACCCTTGACCAAACCTTACGTTCCCTCGGGAAAATAAACTTAGTGCACAATCGGTCCAACAATTCTTCCTCTTTCCTTCAGGCACCATACTCCAATCACTCCGGTGATATCAAATTCTTCCTTTACTAACCATCCAATGGCGGCCCTAAATTTGGGTAGCGCCTCTAGAGGTGCTAAGGGCTCTCCGCTCGGGCTAATCTCGTAATCCTATAAACTTCTTTCCGAAATCTATTCCTTCCTCTATCTCCTCGTGCCCGATCACTCTTTTTCTTTGTACTTCTTCGCTCGGAGGATGTCCCGGTCGTTTGAGGCGCCGTGTCCTTATGAACATCTTGTGACTCTACCTCCATTTCGGCAACAACTTGAGAAACACCTCTGTCAATTCAATTGTTAGGTACATACATACACATGCATTATTCTCTCGTATAGACAATCTACGAGCATATATACCTCATCATCATTTGGCTTATCTTGAGGCTCGTAATTAGGGTCACGTTCCAACTCAAGACGGGCCTTCTTAGCTCTAGGAGATTCACGTGGTGATACGCTCGGGCTCCTATAAGGTTCGGATCCGGAGGAGTCGAGATCCGGTGTACCTATCTCGGGCATCGGCACCTTTCAAACATTTGATGGAGTACTCATCTACATGAAATATAAGTATTAACATGGAAAAAACATAGCTAAATTATGGAAAAAACCTAACAAAAAACATAGTACATACCATTAATTACTAACTAAACTAATTCACAAACCCTAAATAAAGGGAATAAATAACCGTTAATTACTTACTAAATTAACTAACAAACCTATTATTAATAAACACTAACTAAATTAACTAACTAAATTAACTAATTACTAAATAAACCCTAACAAAAAAATATTACTAACTATTAATAAAAACCATAACAAAAAACATTCCTAAATTTTGCAAACAAACCCTAACTAAATTAACTAACTAAATTAACTAATTACTAACTAACTAAATTACTAACTAACTAAAGTACTAACTAAATTAGCTAAT